CTTGGGCTCTCTGTTCTATTCCAATGGTTTATTTTCTATCTCTGTGCCAATTTCACCTTTTCTTAGCTGCTTTCATTTAGTGTAATGTATTTGAGATTCTGTTTATTCTGATGACAGATGAATTTTTAATGTGAGGACAATGAGAAAGAGAAATCATCTGTTTTTGTTTTGAGATAGGGTCTTGTCTGTCGCCCAGGCTAGAGTGCAGTGGTGTCATAATAGCTCAGAGCAACCTCAAACTCCTGGGCTTCAGTGATCCTCTTGCCTCAGCCTCCCAACCAGCTGGGACTGCAGGCATGTACTACCATGCCTGGCTTATTTTTCTAGTTTTTTTTTTGTAGAGATGGGGGTCTTGCTCATGTTCTAGCTGGTCTCAAACTCCTGTCCTCAAGCAATCATCCCACCTCAGCCTCTCAAAGTGCTAGGATTACAGGCATGAGCCACCACGACTGGCATGTAGTTTGTGGGGATAAACTGGGATGTCTGGGACTCTTTAAAGCAGGGGTTGCAAAACAATGGTCAAATCTGGCCCAGTCCCTGTTTTTTTTTTTTTTTAAGGCCCATAAGTTAAGAATGGTTTTTATGTTTTTAAATGGTTGGGGAAATAAAACTTCATGACACTTGAAAATTATATGAACTTTAAGTTTTGGTGTTCATAACTGAGTTTCATTGGAATCTGGCCAGGTTGACTCCTTGAGGTGTTGCCCGTGGCTGCTTTTGTGCTGTAAGGGCAGAGTGGAGAGGTGTAGCAGAGATTAACCATCAGAGCTTAACATACTCTCTGACCCTTTACAGAGAAAGTTTGTAATCCTGCTAATGGATGGGTCTGGGTTTGTCAGGAGCAGCTTCAGAATTGTGGATGTGACAGAAGAGTGGAGAAGAATGTAACAAAGGCAGAGATTTGAGTTCTGCACAGATCTCAAAATGTTGCCCCAGGCTGTTTGTGGCAGGAGATACAAATGTTTTTATTTTCTGTTTTTGTTCATTCCTGCCCAGTCAAATCAGTAAGCAAGATTTATGGTTTTAAATAACAACCAGCGATTGTTATTTTAATCTCTGAACTGGTGTATATTTTAATAGTTTTTCTCAGTGACAGTGGTTAAACTAAACTACTCATGCCAGTTTTTAATTAAATCTAAAGTATTAGAATAAATCTTTTAACAAGTATGAAAATCTTAGTTGTGGCATTACAATGACTCGCGTGTAGTTTTCTTTTCCCACTTGATGAATTAATTGTAAAATGTGTGTACATTTAGTATATTAGACCTATCTAACCTGTTACATATAATCACAGGTAGTTTTCTTTAATTTCACTCAAACAAGACTTGCCAAGATTAAACCCTACAGATCTGTTCAAACTTGAAGGAAATGAAATTCTACCTTTTGTATAATTCAAAGGATTTTTTTTTTCCTGTAATGTAACATTTCATTTATATATTGTCTTCAGGGTATGCATTCCTTTCTAATAGGAATGTCTAACAGTTGAATTTTAATTGTCCTTGTAAGTACTTTGTGCCTTCCATGAATGAAGTAGCTAAGCTTTTTAAAGTCTTTGTGAATATATTTTGTTAGTTTGGTTAAAGCAGAAATGACAGCAGTTATTATTATTAATAACATTTGTAATATTAGAGTGATTGACTGATCTTTACTAGGTATTTCATTGTCGTTAATCATTACACATTTTTAGCTGCATCGTCTTGACAGTCAACATAGATTTTGCAGACAGAGCACAGTAGACCTGCTTTGGATCTGTAATGCCAAATAGTTTTCTTTCAAGGCTACAGAGAAGGTAAAGATGTATATAAGAGTTAAATGCTTTCGTAGAATTTACTGTTACTGAATAGAAGCTTCTTTGTCCTCATCTGGTGAAAATTGTTAATGTATTATGTAGAACTATGGGGAATAAATCTATAGCTATTTATTATGTGGCTCTAGAGGAAGAGTTTTTTTCTTTTTTTATTGCTACCTTTTATACAGGGAAGCAGACATCTAAAACATGTTCTCTGCTGTCAAGAAATTTAAAATACAGTTAATTAGGTTACAACTCCATCTCATCCCACAAGCTTGTGTCATTTAATGGGGAAGGAAAAATTAGAGGTTTGTTAAATAACAGTCAAAGGTATGTACATTATATCCACATCTTTTTTTTTTTTTTTTTGAGACAGAGTCTTGCTTTGTTGCCCAGGCTAGAGTGAGTGCCATGGCGTCAGCCTAGCTCACAGCAACCTCAAACTCCTGGCTCTAGCAATCCTCCTGCCTCAGCCTCCCAAGTAGCTGGGACTACAGGCATTCGCCACCATGCCCGGCTAATTTTTTTGTATATATATTAGTTGGCCAATTAATTTCTTTCTATTTATAGTAGAGACGGGGTCTCACTCTTGCTCAGGCTGGTTTCGAACTCCTGACCTTGAGCAATCCGCCCGCCTCGGCCTCCCAGAGAGCTAGGATTACAGGCGTGAGCCACCGTGCCCGGCCCTATATCCACATCTTAAAATGCCATTTTCCAAGTTTCTGAGTCAAGAATATGTGGATTTCTTAATGGTAAGGGGAGAGTGATCTGATGCCTCAGTATTTCCTTCTTTCAGTTGCTGCCTGAAAGAGCTCTGATTTCACTGCTCACAGGGGGCCTGGTGCCTAGCTCTGAGCATAGGCTCAGTAAGTGCTAGAATTACATAGCAAGGCTGTGATGCAGGCAGAGGCCACTCAAGAGCATGCAAACAGTCTCATTGCTGTTTTGAACTTGAACACATTGAATTAGAGGCAGTTCTTGGCCCTAGAGAGATAGAAAACAAAAATATAGTCTCTATTATTCAGGGACTTAGAGTCTAGCTGGAGAGATAGGATAAGGAAATATTATCTGTGTGGACAAATTACTCCAGCCTTATGAACAGAGTTCCAGGGCAGCGTAGCAATGGGAGCCAGTTTGCCTGGAGTAGCGGAGGAGTTTCACCAGCGCTGTGAGTTTTTTCAAAAGGTTTGAAAAGCGATGTAAGATTCTCCCAGGCAGAGAATTGGGTGGGGATGGTATGGGAAGGACATTCTACAGGTGCTAGGTGTTTTCAGGAATCCATGGGTGTGCAGTCTGGGGAGAGCAATGACAGTGAGCACAATCCCAAATTATTTTGTCTTTACATGGCAAATGTGAATTACTGTGTGCCAAATATAGAAACTGCCATGATTACTCTTTAGTAGCTATTAATAGTTATTTGGATTTCAGAAATCTGTTTGTTGGCTTTAGCTCAGTTAAACATTTTTCATTTGGTTAAAAGTATAAAGGCATAGTGCACATGACAAATTAACATGTAACATTGGGAATTATTCATAAGATAGTTCATGAACTTACTGTTCTATGATTGGAGTATCAGTTTTCCAGTTTTCCTAACAGCATTGTTCTTCTTCCATTGTGTTTAGTCTGTACCATAGTTTGATTCCAAAGATTTCAAGGGCTGACGTGGGGGAAGACCACTCACAGTGGGAAGGTGGTGCCCATGTGAGGGGCAGGTTTGTGATCCACGCTTGGAGTGGGCCAACTAGGGCAGATACAAGCAAATTACTTTATGTGTGGTTTAGTTGATTAATTTATATTCTACCTCTTTCCAGAACCAAATTTGAAGTGCCTTAAAAAAGAAATACAATTAAGAAAAAAAGATAAGGGAGGAAATTAGGAAGAAAGGAACAGCCAGAGAGAAAAAAATAAGGATTCCTGTTGTTAAACATGGGTCATAAATTTGACTCCAGATTTATTAAAGGCCCAGACAGAGAGGAAAACATAATAAATACTGTGATTTCTATAATCTATCATAAGATAAAAACACTCCACTTGGTGTCCAAGGAGTCATGGTACTGAAGCTCAGGGAGGGACAGGGGACATCCATGGAGTGTCTGTCTCTGCAGCACCCGAGCAGCTCAGTCCCAGTAGTTGAGTCCACACACAGCTCCCTGCCGGTCGGGCTCACTCCAAGGACGAAAGGCAGGAGACTGTGATCCCACGGTCCCCTGTGAGACTGTGGATAAATTCTGAGAGCAGCAGGAGAAAATTCATATGGGTCAGAATCATCTGTGAGAATCTCTTAAATTGTCTCCAGCGTGGCAATTTTTCTTCTAACATTAAAACAGATTGCTGTTTCTTTATGGGATTTATGGAATGAGGAATTTGGCTTGCATTTAGATGCCATGTTGCACAAAAAAATTATCTTCAGAGCTCTGGAATGATAGCCAGTGCAGGCAGTACTCCTGGCATGAGAGGCATGTGGAGACAGAGATGCCCACAGGCGGCAGCCACAGGTTTATCTTTCTCCCCAGGCGCACATTCCTGGTGGAAGAGCTGGCACACTTTACATTCTTCCCCCCTGCCTCCCTCCCTCTCATCTGTGTAGTTGAATATATAGAAGTTTGGTTCGAGTGTTGTGGCTTCACGGTGTCTAAGAGAGTGGGTTGTACCCTGGTCATCTAGCAGTCCTTTGTAAATACTGTTCCTCGTAATTGAACTTAGGTACGTAGTGGGTGGCAGAGGACCAGTTTATGTTCTGTCCAGAACATGAGGTACAGGTATTCTGTTCTGATTAAGGGCAGATCCAAACGCATGAACAGTCACTGAAACTGGGATTTGGGTTGTCATGGGGAGCAGAAGTACTTGGGCTAGAATGCGTCAGTTCGAATTATGGCTCTGCTGGTGATTAGCTAAATGATGCAGGAAAGTCACTTAAACCTTGTCTCTAAGTCACTTACCTCATGTGTAAAATGGAGAGGCCAGCGTTGGCTTCATAAGGTTATTGAAGAGATTAAATGATTTAACACATGGAAAGGGACACAAACAGTGCCCAACACATACTAAGTGCTCAACATATGTAGCTCTTTTATTTTGTACTGTAAATTGAGGAGCTGGAACAGACAAGGCCAGCCTACCTTTCCACACAAATAGGTAAAAGCAGTTTTCTGAATAGGACATTTGGAAATTAGATTCTTTTTTCCTGGTTTGTAACAATTTTATCCTCTTTCAGAGAAACAGCACCCAGGACTATCTTCCAAAGAGTCCTGGATATCTTAAAGAAATCGTCCCTTGCTGTTGAGCTGGCCTGCAGAGATCCGTCCCAAGTGGAGAATCTGGCTTCCAGTCTGCAGTTGATAACAGAGTGCTTCAGGTGTCTCCGCAACGCGTGTATAGAGTGTTCTGCAAACCAAAATTCAATCAGGTAGTATTCCTTGTGGTTATACAGGAACCTTTGATTATATTTCCTTGTATATGTGCATGCTAGTTCTTTCATACTGGTTTATCTGTTAGAAATTGTTTTGGCATTATACTGTCACCTGCTGTTACTGCAAGATTGTCCTTGACATCCACAGGGGAGAAGTCCTCTGCAGGTCTTCTTACCAGTGGAATCTCTTAGACCATATGTAATGGTACGACCTGTAATAAAGTGTGTTTAACATTAGGGATTAGATTTCTTACTTGTATTGATAACATGTTTTGAGGTATTTGGTTCTGCACAGTGACTTGAACTTGGTCTTGATTTCTTGTTCCTAGAGTATGCCTGCTTAAGTTCATATGCAGTTCTTGACCTCATTTTTCTCAGTTGTAATGTTTTAATTCATTACCATTGTGTTTACTTTGAACAAGAAGCATGTTTTTTAAATTTCTGTGAACCTGTCTATCCTTAAGACTTTGTAAAGTTCTAAGCTCTACTTCCATCTATTTTATAGTGTGCACATTTGTACACATAGTTAAAATGAGAGCAGGCATAGCCCAGTGCTGTTCTTTGCTTGTACATGTTACTATCTCCTCCCAAAATTGAGCATCTTTCCTCCTTGATTTTATGGAGTCTGCTTTTTATTAAAAATTTTTGCTTGAATGAAGTCAAAAGCCACAAATAGGATGCTCGCCTTTCTTTCCTGGACTTAAATACAGACAGACAGAGCCTCCAGGCCTCCCTGTCACTGCTGTGATCAGTGAAGTTGGGTTGATGCAGAAGCCACTTGAGGGACTCCCTTTGCCTAGGTGCTGTTATACCTGAGGCTTTGATATGATTAATGAGATCTTTAAGATCAAAGGAGAGGGGGGAAAAGCTAAAGTCCTTTAACTTCAATGCTAAACCAAACCTGCCATCCATTTGCAGATAAATGGATAGAAAAAAATATAATCTTGATAATAATAGTGAACATTTTAAAACATAACTGGTTATATGCTAGAAGCCTCTGGCTAGAGGCTTTTTTTCTTTGTCCTTTTTCAGGCAGGGAGGTGCTGTAGTGTGGGGGAAAGGAGAGCCTTAGAACAGACTATTGACTGTGGCTGCGAATTTGGAATTTTTCTAGCCTTGGATGGGAGGGAGTGAGCATTTGATGAGCCTGCCCTCAGCACTGGTGCTTTCGTCCTGGTGCTTTACTTGCAGTATCTTGTTTAATCTTTAGAACAAACCCAAGAAATAGTGTGGTACTATTTTTCCATTTTTACAGAAGAAGAAACTGTGACTTGGAGAGGTTAAATAACTTGTCGAAAAGTCACACATTGAGTAAGTGAGAGAGCCTGGGAATATCCTCTCTGCCTTTAAACATCTGACTCTAAAGCTGAGGCTCCCTTGACTGTCCCGAACCCTACATACTGGCCCTGTTGCGACAATTGCTCCATCCCTTATGCAGCCATATGACGTAGGACAAGTGATACATGCAAACTACAAAAATTCAGACATTGCAAAGATAAATAGTATGGCAAATAAAATTTCAGTGGTCTTTTGTCAGGGCCATCAAAGCAAGGGGTGTGCTGTACTTGGTAATGATTGTGTTTTTATTGCATGTAACTTATGGTTGGGCTGAAATGAAAATGAACAGCTAAGGGTGTTAGTGTATCTGCCTCTTACCTTCTAGCATTATATTATTATTTGCTATTGATTTTCAAAGGGAAATTCCAACCACTTAGGCCAACAGCATCCAGAAAAGAATTTTTTAGTCAGAAATACAACAAAGATTACAGTAAGGACTTTGTGACCAGCCTTTCTGAGCCAGTCAATATTTGGATTACAACCAATACATATTTTTCTGGTGTTTTATTTTAATTTATTAAAGAGTTATTCAAAAGGTGTGATGCTATTAAGGTCTAAATCTTGTTACATCTTTTGTCTGAATGTTGCACTTTACGTGGACTGGAATTGTTTTTGCAACGGATATGTGGAATGAGGTATAATACAGCAAAGCAAGCAATCTGAGTCTTATGAAATGTCATGAGGTGCTCAAAGAAAACTGTTCCAAGCAGTTAGATCTGCATGTAAATGTGACCCCTATTGCAGGAGTTGCTATACTTTTTCTGCAGAGAGTCGGATAATAGTTTAGACTTTGTGAACTCTGTCAGATTTCTCAGCTCTCCCGTTGTAGTGCGAAAACAGCCATAGACAGTGTGTGAATGAATGAACGAGCCTGGCTGGGTTCCACTAAAACTTGCCTTTATGAAGATTGAAATTTGAATTTTATAAAGTTTTCACATATCATAAAATTGTATTCTCCTTTTGTTTTTTTCCTTAACCATTTAAAAAAGTGAAAATCATTCTTAGCACATTGGCCATATAGAAACAGGCAGCTGGCCCATTTGCCTGGTTTATATGGAAGCAAGAGCAGGAAGAGAGGTGGGATGACCTCTTCTTTTCTGGGGAGCAGGTACTGAGCCACTATTCTCACCTGTCTTATGCATGGGTGAAGAGAGAAGGAGCAGTGCTCTCTGGGCACCTGGCCCAGGGGTAGGGAGAGAGCACCTGGCCGTGTGCACGCCAAACCTGGGCATTTGGAAACTCCTTCCAGTAAAACTGGGCCTTGACACAGGTTTCTGGGATTTGATCCATTCAGATCAGGTTCTTATGTTTTTTTTTTTTTTCTCTATACTCCCTGTCTCCACTTCCCCTTCTTTTTAAACTCACTTCAATCAATCTTTTAACTTAACATATCATCAAAATGGCTCTTGTTGGTGTCACCAGTGACCTCTGAGTTGCCAAATCCTGTGGTCAGTGTGGAGTGTTCATTTTACCAAAACTAACAGCAGCATTTATGTGGTTGATAATTCCTTCTTGGAAGGACGTCCCTCACTCAGTTATTTGGGACCTCACTACTCTTAGTTCTCCTCCTGCCCGTCTGGCTATTCTTTCTCAGTTTCCTTTGCTGGATTTTCATCTACACATCTTCTAAATGTTAACATGACACAAGCCTCAGTCTTTGGACCTCCCCCCTCTTTATCTACATTTTCTTCCTGGATGGTTTCATCCATTTCTGTGGCTAAAAATATTAGATACAGATTGCAGATTCCTAATGTTATCTGTAGCCCTGACTTTTGGCCTGAATTCCAGACTTGTATGTCATATAGCCAGCGCTCTACTCAGACTTGACATTTGGTCTGTTTTGTTCTCTGCTGTATCCCCAGAATCTCAAATGGTGCCTGGCACTGAATGTGTGTTCAATAAATAAGTGTTAGATGGGTAAACTGTATTCCTCATGCTCAGTAGCATGACCCAGAGGAAATCATTCACCCTTTTCTAGGGGAGATTTCAGTTCCCTTATTGCTCAAAGGAGAAGGGAGCTAGCTAGTCTCAAAATATATGTTCATTCAAAAAATATTTAATGCAATCTTTATGTGCCTGAAACTGGGTAGATGTTTCCATTACAATAAGGGATCATAGTCCCTGGTCTCAAGTAGTTTGTTGCCCAGTGGGATAAGTAGCCATATGGGAAATTACCTTGGCAGGGCTTTCCGAGGAAGGTGATGGAGAGGGGGTGGGGAGGTCTGTTCCCATCTTCCCACCTGTGAGCCTTGCAAAGGCAGGGGTGTGTTTAACTTGCCTGTTTTCGCCCCAAATTTAGCTGTAGACTCTTAATTACATCGTTATCTTACCTGCTTCCAAGTGCATTTCCTGAAGGGAGGGGTGGTGTAGAGGTCGAGGGTTGGGGAAGAGAATATGTTCAATTCCAGCTTTAAAACTATAGAACCTTTGTTAGAATTCATCTACTTCATAAAGTGAGGCACTGCATATGCACTTAGGGTTGGACCTGCATACTCCTTTACACTGTTCCCAGGTGCCAGTGATGCAGATCATATCACATTTAACCTTGGAGGCCCACTGCCCAGGCAAAGGTCCTCAACGAGTTTGCTGGGGACTGCATTTCTGAGAGCTGTGGCGTGGTCCTATCAGTGAGTGCAGCACTGAGCAAGAATTGTTGAATGTCAGCAGCAACATCAACACTTGGGAAAGAGAATTGTCCTACTCTGGGATCTTCATGGTTGGCTCTTTGAAAGTTCTCAGATGTTATTACTAGTTGGCCCCCCACAATCCCCTGTGCCAACCTGGGAGAACAGGATACTTATTCTTTAGGTGTGTCTTTGCGTAGGAGTGTCTTTTTGTTCATGTTGAGAAGTGAAGAAGATAGGGAGCTGTATTAGTTTCCTGTTGTTGCTGTAACAAGTTACCACGAATTTAGTAGCTTAAAACAACAGAAATGTTTTATCTTACAGTTCTAGAAGTCAGAAGTTCAAAATCAGTCTCACTGACTGAAAGTCAAAGTATCCGTAGGGCTGGTTCCTTCTGGATGCTCTAGGGGAGAATCCATTCCCTTGTCTTTTTCTAGATAATGGAAGCTGCCTGCATTCATTGTTTCATGGCCCCATCCTCCATATTTATTTATTAAAACAAACTTTTTTTTTTAAGAGGCAGGGTCTTATTCTGTCACCCAGGATGAAGTGCAGCGGTATGATCATAGCTCACTGTGGCCTCCAACTCCTGGGCTCAAGCGATCCTCCCACCTCAATCTCCTGAGTAGCTGGAAGTACAGGCTCGACTAGTTAATTTTTTAAAAGATTTTTTGTAGAGACTGAGTCTTTCCATCTTGCCCAGGCTAGTCTTGAACTCCTGGCTTCAAGTTGTCCTCCTGCCTTGGCTTCCCAAAGTGCTGAGATTACAGGTATGAGCCACTGTGCCTGGCCCCCATTGGAATAGCATCTAACAGTCTATTTGTTTCTGACTCTGACCCTCCCGTATTCCTCTCATGAGGACCCTTATGATTACATTAGGCCCACCCGGCAAACGCAGGATAATCCCATATCAAAATCATTAATTTAATCACTTAATCACATTAATTTACTCATTTAATTTAATTTTGGTTGGTGTTTTATGAAACCAACCAAATCACAAAACAGAAACAGCCAAATGGAAGACATGCATAAGACAAGGTATGGTGGGGGCAGGGTGCTAGCTTCCATGCACTTTCTGGGTGTGTCATTCCTTGAGCACTTTGTGTTCACCAACCTGAGAGTTCTCCAGACTCTACTGTTTAGGCATTTTATGTAGGTTTCATGAGCAGGCATGATCAATTAAATCATTGGCCATTGGTAATTGAACTCAATCATGGCCCTTCTCTCTTCCCCTGAGGTCAGGGGTAGGGCTGAAATTTTCAATCCTCTAATCACATGGTTGGTTCTTCTGGCAACCAGCCACCATCCTGAAGCTATCTAGAGACCCACCCTGAGTTACATCATTAGAATAAATCAAATATGATCAAATGGGGCTTGTTATGAATAGCAAAATATGTACCTATTACTCAGGAACTTCTAAGGGTTTTAGGAACTCTGTGCTAGGAATCTGGGACAAAGACCAAATATGTGTTTCTTATACCACATCTCTTTTGTCATATAAGGTAATATTTTCATAGGTTCCAGGGTTTGGGATGTGGACATCTTGAGAGCACCATTCTGTTGCCTCACGCGGTCCACCTTTTGGCCCCTAAACATTCATGTCTGTCCCATGTGCAGAATACATTACTCCATCCCAACTTTCCCAGCTTCTCAACTATTTACAGCGTCAACTCAAGTTCAGAATGCCTTCTAAGTCTCATCAGCTAGAAAGTCCCAAATCTCATCATCAAAATCCTCTCAATTACATATATGTGAACCTCTGGGTATGATCTATCTTGGAGCAAAGTTCCTCCTCATCTGTGTACCTGTGAATCTAGAAAACAAATTTTCTGCTCCCCAAACAGACAGACACAGGATACAGTTGAACAGGCATAGGATTACAGTTTTAGACATCCCCCTTCAAAAGCAGGGAAAATGAAAGGAAAAGAGGAGCTACTGGTCCCAAGCAGCTTCAAAATCTACTCTGGAAAACTCAGTTAAGTTTCAAGGCCTGGGAAGCATCTTTTGTAGCTTGAGACTCTGCCTTCTGAGCCCTTGACTCTACCTCAGAGTCATGCTTCGTTTTTGTTGAAGGGTAGCACATATTTGCAACTAAGTAGTTTTATCAGCATGTTTCCTGCCTGTAGAATTTTGGGAGTCTGACAGCCTTATTTCATTTTATCCTTTCTCTGTGCATTTCAGTCCAAGCTGGCAGTGCCTCTTCTGGTATAACATTCTTAAAGCCATGTGGGTCTCCCATGTATGTCACGGATATTCACACCATTAGACAAGAGGGTCTGCTATGGAGCTTTCTTAGATAACCCTGTCTCTGTTCCTAATCTCTTCAGAGAGATCTCTGTGACTGAATACTCTAACCTTTTTATTTCTCCCAGATACTAGCAAAAGGTAGTGGCGCCATAACCTTGGTTTTCTCTCGAGCAGCTTTTCTGACAGTGAACCTCCTTGTTTAGCATCTTTTGCAGTCTTTTTGGACAGGCTGAGAATTTCCCAAATCATCAAGACTTGATTCCTTTTTAGTTAACAGTTCTTCCCTTAATTTGAGACAGAGTCTCACTTTGTTGCCCAGGCTAGAGTGAGTGCCATGGCGTCAGCCTGGCTCACAGCAACCTCAATCTCCTGGGCTCAGCGATCCTACTGCCTCAGCCTCCCGAGTAGTTGGGACTACAGGCATGCGCCACCATGCCCGGCTAATTTTTTGTATATATATTTTTAGTTGGTCAATTAATTTCTTTCTATTTTTGGTAGAGACGGGGTCTCGCTCAGGCTGGTTTCGAACTCCTGACCTTGAGTGATCCGCCCGCCTCGGCCTCCCAAAGTGCTAGGATTACAGGCGTGAGCCACCGCGCCCGGCCTCCTTAATTTATTTCTTACCTTTGCATTTTACTATAGGCAGTGAGAAGAAACCTGACCTCACTTGGAACATTTTGCTTGGAAATATGCTCAGCTAAATATCCAAGTTCATTGTTTACAAGTTTTGCTTTCCGCATAACTGTAGGACACAATTCAGCTAATCTCTTGCCTCTGTGTAGCAAGAATTGCCTTTCCTCCAGTCTCTAATAACATGCTCCTCATTTCCTTCCAAGCCTTCACCTGCCATGCTTTCAGTGTTCAAGGCAGTATAGGCTTTTTCTATCACATGTCTCGAAGTTCTTCCAGCTTCTGCTCATTGCCAAATTCCAAAGGCACTTCCACATTTTTAGGTATTTGTTACAGCAGCACCCTGCTTCAGCTGCCCAAATCTGTATTAGTTTCCAATTGCTGTGGTGGAAAATTACCAAAAATTTTGTGGTTTAAAGGAACACACTTTTGTTATCTTGTAGCTCTGAAATTCAAAAGTTTAAAATGGATCAATATGGCTGTGGTTTTTTGGAGGCACTACTGGACAATCAGTTTTCTTTTCATTTCTAGCTTCTATGCCTGCATCCCTTGGCTGTGGCCTTTTCCCCCAACTTTGACCCTCTGTTTCTCTTATAAAGATCCTGTCATTGCATTGGGCCCACCCATGTGATCTGGGATAATCTTCCTGTCTAAAGATCCTTAATTTAGTCTCGTCTGTAAAGTCCCTTTTGCCATACAAGGTAACATATTCACAGAGCGTGGGATTAGGATGTGGACATCTGTGGAGGACCATTATTCTGCCTTCTGCAGGAACCGTTAATCAAGTCTCAGCACCATGCATTGAATCTTCATTTGAAGTGAACTTCTAAGAAAAAGCTTTTGTCTAATTTTGTCTTTTTTAAAAACCTGATACAGGAACTTGGATACGATTGGAGTTGCTGTTGATTTGATTCTTCTGTTTCGTGAACTGCGAGTAGAACAGGAATCCCTGTTGACAGGTAACATGCAATATGATTCACGGATTATTTATATCTTTGAAAGGGATTTAAGACCAATACTTTGAGTATGACATCATTTATTGGAGCACATGTTCTATATTTCATGAGATAAGGAAATAAGGAAACTTCAATAGTGAAATTTTAAAGAATTATCATAAAAGAAAGTTGCATCAACTTCCTTCCTTTCTTGTTGTGAGCTGAATTTCGTTCCCCCAGATTTGTATGTTGAAGTTGATATTAATCTGTTCTAGTTGCTATAACAAAATACCTTAGACTAGTAATTTATAAGTAACAGAAATTTATTGCTCACAGAGTCTGAAAAGTCCAAGATTAAAGCACTAGCAGATTTGGTGTCTGGTGAGGGCTGCTCTCTGCTTCATAGATGGTGCCTCTTGTGATGTCCTTACATGGCAGAAGGCAGAAGGGGCACATAACCTCCCTGCAGCCCCTTTTATAAGGGCACTAATCCCACTCACCTGGGCTCCACCCTCATGAACTTGTTACCTCCCAAAGGCCCCACCTCCTAAGACCAACACATTGGGGATTAGATCTCAACATAAGAATTTTGGAGGGACACAAACATTCAGACCGTAGCAAAGTCCTAACCCCCACTACCTAGAATGTGACTGTATTTGGAGATAGGATCTTTAAAGAGGTGATTAAGGTAAAATGAGGGTATATGACTGACATCCTTATAAGAAGATGAGATTAGGACACAGACCCGCCCAGCATAAAGAAACACGACACAGGGAGAAGATGGCATCTACTCGCCAAGGAGAGAGGCCTCAGAAGGAACCAGCCCTGCTGACACCTTGATTTCAGACTTCTGGTCTCCAGACTTGTGGGAAAATAAATGCCTGTCGTTTAAGCCACCCGGTCTGTGGTACTTTGTTGTGATAGCCTGAGCAGACCAATACACCATCTTTCAGTATTTATGGCCGTGACAAGCCTATTTTAGGTTTTGGGTGTGATTGGAACAGTGACAAAAACAGACAAAAATCTCTGCCCTCAGGGAGCTCACATTCCAGTGAGGGGAGCCAGATGTTAAATCTATTAAGTCACATATCTGGTGTGATCGAAAGGGAGGTTAGCACTGATTATTATGGTTGTTGATACGGCATTAAGAGAAACACCAGGCCTCTTAGTGTGAAGAGCTGGAAGCTTTTCTAGACTTATTTGAATGTTTTTGGTCTTTATACTAGTAACCTCAGTACTTCTCCCTTGGACAGAGCTTATTATCTTAATATAATGTTTTTCAAAAAGCCATAGAATTTTAATATATGATCTTTTTGTTTAAGGAATTGAAATATTTCATGGGTAAACCTAAGTCATTTGATGAGAAAATCTTAATGTAAATATCCAGGCTTATAAATTAGATGTACTAGATTATAGGTTTAAAAATTTTTGAGTAGTGAAGAATAACATAATTTACCTTTTAATTTACCTTATAAGATAATTTAATGAATACTTCCTTTGAGATTTCTCCAGCTGTATTTAAAATATGATTTAACTTATAAATTATTTTTTATATAGTCCCTGATGCCTATACTTATTATGCAACACAAGCCTTTCCTTTGTTAATGTTAACATGCATGCTGCTCTTGAACTAGAGGTGACAGGCTCTTACAGACATACAAACTGAAGCACAAAGGTAAAGGAGGCCAAATTAGTGTATTAGAGGTGCTGCTGCCGGACTGAGTTTAGTTCTGATTCAGTTCTATGATTTCTTAGTGTTTTCATTTAAAACTCAATTTGCTAAAAATTCTTGGGTCTTTGTATTTGATTTAGAAATCTTCCTTTGGGAAATGGTAGTTTTAAAAAAAATTACATCATCTAAGAATTTACAAAGTATGTGCTTTAAATTTTTTTGAGCAGCAATAGCTTTTAAAATATTCTAAAAAAATTGATAGGATGTAGGATTTAGTTGTGAAGTGTTTTTAAGATGTCATATATTTAAAGGTATTTTTGTAGCTTCAGTGCATGTTTCGCTCTGCTACTCGACAAAGGTAGCTATTTTTGAAGTTCGTGTGTGGTATGGGTAGTTCAGTAAGAAAGTTCAGAATGTGCTCCGTGTGTAACGGGATCCTGACGTGGCGGGCGGGGTGTCACTGCAGAGCTGACGCGCTGTGGTGGGCAGAGCAGGCATCTCTTTTAATGATGTGTTCCCAAAGAAAGACACACAGGGGAAGTGCTGCACGAATGGTGTGATTAAATGACTATTAGCGTGCAGCCACCCGCTCCCCCTCGCCCACTCAGTGCTTTTCTCCTGAAATTGTGCCCTTGCTCCCAGGCAGCCTGCTTTTCCTCTAGACTCTGTCGTTTTCACCAGCATAGACACGCTCTCCAATTTCAGTCTTAAGATATCTTCCCTGACTCCAGGTCCTCTCAGTCTGCTACTCATTTTTTTCTGCTCTATTCCAGATTTACTAAAAAGAATCACTTAGTTTTTCCAATATGTGATAAAATTATTTTATCCTTTCTTCTCAGGATTAATTTTCATAGAAGCAGGTAGATGACCGAAGGGAAAACTTATAGGAGCAGATATCTGAAGTTGCTTTTATGATCAGTTTGTCACTGAAGTGTAAACTGGTTGTTTGGTGGCTTGGTTATTCACTGACAGCCACTAGTCAGAGAGAGTAGGTCCTGATAGACCTATTTCATGTTAGCTGTGTTGAGTTCACAATTTAGATAGTTACAGTATTATCAATTTAAGTTTTTATTGATATGAGATTCATATAACATAAAATTAACCATTTTAAAGTAAACAGTTGAGTGGCATTTAGCACATTCACAGTATGGTGAACCATCATCTCTACCTAATTAAAAATATTTTCATCACTCCAAAAGAATACCGTGTTCTCATTAAGCAGTTGCTAGTTCCCCTTCCCTGTACCTCCTGGCAATCAGTATTTTGTGTTTTGTCTATATGGATTTACCTACTCTGGATATTTTATATAAATGAAATCAGAATTATGTGACCTTAAGTATCTGGCTTCTTTCACTTATCATAATGTTTTTCAGGTTCATTCACATTGTAGCATTTTCCTTTTCGTGGCTGAATAATATTCCACTGTATGGGTATGTCACATTGTGTTTGTCCGTTCATCAGTTGATAGACATTTGGATTGTTTCCACCTTTTGGCTATTAAGAATAATGCTGTGAACATGTGGGTACATGAATTTGTTTGAATACTTGTTTTCTTTTAAGTATGTGCCTAGGAATGGAATTGCTGGGTCATATGGTAACTCTGTGCTTAACATTTGAGGAACTGCCAAACTTCTATAACAGCGGAACCATTGTACTTTTTCATCAACAGCGTATGAATGAATGTTCCAATTTCTCCGCATCCGTGCTGACACTTTCTTTTTTGGATTATAGTCATCCTGGTGGGTGTGAAATGGTGGTACTCCATTGTGGTTTTGATTTGCATTTCCTGAATGATGATACACTTACTGGCCATTTGTACATCTTCTTTGAGAAATGTCTATTCGAATCTTTTGCCCAGTTTTTAATTGGGTTATTTGTCTTTTTGTTGTTGAGTTTTAAAAGTCATTTATATGTTATGGATACTAGGGATTATGTTGGATCCATAGATCAATTTGGGGAGAGTTGCCAACTTAACAATATTAAGTCTTCTAGTCCCTGAAGATGGAACATCTCTCCGTTTAATGGGTCTTCCTTTTCACTTGTGTCAGTTTTAAGTAGGTGACTTGTGTTTAGTGACAGGGTTGGAAAGATATTATTGATACAAGTAGGAAAATGGAAGTTAAGTCGTCTTTCTCACAACCTTCTTCAAAAAGGCAGCTAATGAAATTGCTGAATTTTATTTGAAATTCAACAGTGAAATTTGGATTCAACAATGAAACTTAAAAACATTTTTTATAGTGTGTTAATTCAAACCTAATACAAATAATCTTTTAAAAAGTATTCTGGTTCCTAATAAAGTGCCTGTACTATCTTTTGACTCTTTCTCTGTGAGAATCTTATTCTAGATAGATTTTTCATAGGGTATCTGTGCCAGTGTTTTGTTACCACTCTTGAGGTAAGAACTGTAATTACATTGTCAAAATAATATTTAGAGTATTATTTTCAGGGAATAATTACAGTGGTGTGACGAATATATTATGCTCATGAAATTTTATGTAAACATAAGCATGAGTTATTTTAATTGCATTATTGGTGTTGTTTTTGGCTCTTATTCTTTCCTAATTTGTAAAAATAGTGTTGGGACTTTTGAGGGGCTTTGTAACATTTGCAATATTTACATAAAGATTAGTTGATAACTTGTTTGGTAAAAGTAAATTGTCATTTGTCCTTGTCTGGAGTTTTCCTTTCCTGTGTCTAGGACATCTTTAAACCTTTTCCTTTCCAGAATTATGTTCTGATTCAGAGCACTAATTTTTAGTTGCCTGATAAATTGTTGGGTAAGTTGGTTTCCAGACCAGCTTCTGCCGTTGGCTTTTTTTTACACGTAAAATTTAATTTACACAGATTTGAGTATTAGTATTCTAAACTGTTTGGTAGAGATTTAAATATCTTTTTAAATTATGACTTACCTGGAAAAAAAGATTAATATTTTTCTATTATAAATATTTAATATAAGTTCATTAGAGACTAATTTTTATAAACTTAGAAGAATAGAAAAAAGAAAGATAATCATCACTGTATATACAGGATGCATAAGATAAACATTGATTTTTTGTTGTTGTTGTTCTTGTCATTTTTGAAAAAAATGCACATGTATGTGTACTTGCAGTTTTTGTATCTGGCTTCTTTATTTTAGATTACAATATTAACTTAATTCAACTTTGAGGTTCTTGGCTCATTCTTTTCTTGGCATACTTTTAAGGTTTCAGTGTTTTGATTTTTGGCCATGATTTTGCAACTCTGAACAACCAGTCGTTGAGTTGCTATGAATAAGTGAATAGTGCAGGCACTTATCCTTTTTAATCCTTGTAACTACTCTTCCTCCAAAATATCAGAGTGAGCAGCCTGAACTGGCAACAGGATTTAAAGGGAATGCTCAGATCCTAGGAAACTGCAAGGACAGAGGACAGGAGCTCTGGGGCCACATCCTTGGGCTAGCCCTTCTCTTCTTGGAAAGCAGAGACCTGGAAAGCTTAAGGGACTTCAGTAGACTGTTTGCCCCTGAAAATGTTTTTCTGTTTGCTTCCTGGTGGGAATTTCCTTAATTGGGGCAAAAGTGTCCATTTCAACTCAAACTCTCCTGTTGGTTTTTATTTCCCCTTGATTAGCTTTGATCCCTGTCCCAGGGTCAACTGCCATCTCTTGTTTTTGCCATTCCTAGTCTACCACCTATAGGCTTTGCGACCTTGGGCAAATATCTAACCTTTCTGAGCTTTGGTTTAGTCATTGTGAAATAGGGATGATAGAAATACCTGCCTCTTAAGGTTGTCGTGGGGATTAGATGAATTAATGCAGTTAGAACACAGTGTCTAGCATATAGTACACCTTGACAAATGTTAATTGTCACTTTTATTATTACCTTATTACTGGCTAATATTCTGCAGTTTTATTTGGTGAACGATTTTAAATATGTCAACTAGGTTATTAAATCTTACTCAAATCTTTAAATATGTGGATATTTTTGTCCTGTAAGTTACTGAGAAAGGTTTATTTTATTTATGTTGAGAAAAGTATATTTTAATTACTCTACTTAGTTGTAGGTTGTTCTCTTTCCTCTATTCTTTTTTTTTTTTGGAGACACAGTTTCGCTCTGTTGCCTGGGTTAGGGTGCAGTGGCATCATTGTATCTCACAGCAACCTCAAACTCCTGGGCCTAAGCAATCCTTTTGCCTCAGTCTCCTGAGTAGCTGGGACTACAGGTTTATGCCACCGTACCTGGCTAATTTTTCTATTTTTTATAGAGACGGGGTCTCACTCTTGCTAAGGCTGGTCTTGAACTCCTGAGCTCAGGCAATTCTCCCACCTCAGCCTCCCAGAGTGCTAGGATTATAGGTGTGAGCCACCGTGCCTCTCTTCTATACTTTTATCAGTTTTTCTTATATACGTATTTGAGGCCATGTTATTAGGTATAGTCCATTTAATTATTACTGTAGCTTTCTGGTGAATTAAATTATTCTGTGTAATGATTTTTTTTTTTTTTTTTTTGAGACAGAGTCTCACTTTGTTGGCCAGGCTAGAGTGAGTGCCATGGCGTCAGCCTAGCTCATAGCAACCTCAAACTCCTGGGCTCAAGCAATCCTACTGCCTCAGCCTCCCAGGTAGCTGGGACTACAGGCATGCACCACCATGCCCGGCTAATTTTTTCTATATATATTAGTTGGCCAATTAATTTCTTTCTATTTCTAGTAGAGATGGGGTCTTGCTCTTGCTCAGGCTGGTTTCGAACTCCTGACCTTGAGCAATCCTCCCCCCTCGGCCTCCCAGAGAGCTAGGATTACAGACATGAGCCACCCGCACCTGGCCAATTCTGTGTAATGATTTTTAAAATCAAATTTCTAATAATGTTTTATGTGTTAAGGTTTATTGTGTTTGATTTTAAGTGGTCTGTGACTTCCTTTTTTTTGGTATTTGTCTGTTATATCTTTTTACCATTCTTTAACTTTCATTATTTCATATTTCATTATAGAAATAACCTTATATTTTAGGTATGTCTGTTTTAAATAGCATATAGTTAAGAGTTTTTAAAGTCCATTCTAATAGGTGTCACTGTCTTTTAATTAGAGCTCATATTCCAATGATGTTTGATGTAATTTGTGTTTACATTTATAATCTGTTATAAGTTGTTTAATTAATTTTGTATAGAGTATATTGTTTTGGTAAGGCATATTAATGTTATTCCCAAAGGTTTGTGGAGAGAGACCTTTATATTTAAAAGAAGAAAGCAGAAAATTCCTATTTAATAACATGGGGTATATTTCTTATTAAGATATGTTTATTTAGTCATTGTGTTTAATCGTATGTATTTTTTTCTTACTTTTATATATCCTCAGCTTTTCGTTGTGGACTACAGTTTTTAGGCAACATTGCTTCACGGAATGAAGATTCCCAGTCTATTGTTTGGTTACATGCCTTCCCAGAACTCTTTCTGTGAGTATATTGATAAGAATTTTTCTAACTTCTGAGAAGATGTAGTTATGTCGTTCCATTTATATGAAGTCCAAAAGCAGGAAGAACTAACCTATGGATACAGAGTCCAGGATAGTAGTAGTTCTTGGTGGGTGGTGTTGAGTAGTTACTGCCTGGGAGAGGACATGAGGGAAACTCCTGGGTCCTGGACCCTGGACATGTTCTATAGCTTGATCTGGGTCGTGGGACCAATGGGTATGTACATATCTAACATTCATTGAGGTATATGTACACTTCAAATTTGTACCTTGGATTGTGTGTCAGTTTACTTTTAAGAAAATAAAAGTCATGTTAAAGTAAGTAACATAGTTAAGGACATGGAAATTTATAAGAAAAAAATAAATCATCAAAGTATGGGCAATGAATTAATCCTTTATTTACTGAATACTTCTTATATGGTCAGCACAATGCCACATGTTTTGGTAGATATGGAGAATTGTAAGAAGTGGTTAACCAGCTGGTTTATCAGTGTAAAAAGTAGATAACCAATTCATTTATCAATGTAAGATGTGAATAACCAATCCCTTTATCATGTAAGAAATGGATAACCAGTTGGTTTATGAATGTAAGAGGTGGATAACCAGTCCGTTTATCTGGATTGGATGCTGGTGCTTTTTCTGGTTATCTACTTTTTTAAAACCAGTTCTGTTAGTTCATAAGAAACTGAGCGTGGAGGTAAAAGGTGAGCAGCTAAGAAGGCAGGATACGTAGTAGGAAAGGCACTGTCTGGGAGCAGGTGGCCTGGCTTCTGATGTAGGCTTTGGTGCCAGTGAATGAGGTGACTCCAGTACTTCCAACAGTATAAGCAGCAAAGGTAGCAGCTGAGCTACCTTGAGTTGGGCATTTTCTGTATATTATCCCTGTTTTACCAAAGCCCTGCAGGGTAAGTGGTACTGTCCCCATTTGGACAGATGAGGCACCTGAAACTTATTACTGGTAAATGGCGTAGCTGGAATGTAAACCCAGTGCTGCTGTACGGATCTAAAGCCTATACTCATTGTTAAGTACCATACTGCCTAAATTCTGTGCTGCCTTCCCTGGTTATATTGGTTTTCTGGGCTCATCTGTAAAGTATGGTGTTAAGAGCAAATGAATTCTAATTCACTTTTGGCTCGCTGAGTCTGTCTTTCAAATTCCTACAAATAATTGGAGTTGAAGGTATATATCCTTGTGAATAATGATAATTGAGCTTAGATGGAAGAAAAGAATTATGAGATTCAAATGACAGAAATAGAGATTACTTATTTTTGAGAATTTACTTCTTTAAAACATTTTGGGCATTTAATATCTACCAAGATTTGAGCCAGATGATTGGAATATGTGGTAACTTAGATGTGGTCATTATTCCCAGAGATTTCATGCTTCAATGGGGGAAATAAATGACCAGGCAAGTACATTTTAATAATTAGGGTAAATCTAGGGTGTAATGGAAAAATAGAGGAAAGGCCCAAGTACAAAGAAGTCTCAACAGTCTTAACATGGTGACTTTTTATTATCTCATTTGACCCTTATAAAAGCCCTGTGAGATAGTCAGGGAAGATTTTGTTATATTTCATTTTTTATATCAGCAAACGTATTGAAAGAGGTTATATGACTTCAGTCTTTATATGTTTATGAAACAGATATAACCAAATTTGAATTCCAGTTTTGTCAAGTATGGCTTTATGCTATTAGGCAAGTGAAGTCAATAGATTATTTATCTGTAATAGATGATGGATTATAACTCTTTCAGAAGAATATTACGAAGTTTAAATGAAAAAAGAACCTGTCATAGTGCATACTCGTGATATTATTGACAATGAATAAATTTGTGACTTTCCTAAGGTTGCCTAAGTGATAGGTAGATGAGCCAGGAGTTATACTGAGGCTCTTAGCTTCAAATTCTGTTTCTGTCTGTCTTATAGACATCCTGTCCCTAATGACTGTTAAAGCAATGCCTATCGTCATTGAGGTGTCGTTTTTTGCCTGTCAATTTTTCTTTCTTAGAAGGATAAACATTTTTGTGCTTTATAGATACAGTCATGCTTATCTCGTTATTTTACCATGTTTATCATGTTTATCTTTTTCTCTAATCAAGCGTTATTTGCTTTTGGATCCAAGTCAACTACAACTTTAACATTAGATACTTTTATTGTAACTAATTTTATATTTGCTGTTTTTGCAGTAAATAATTAACTTGTTTCAGAGTGTTATGATTCTTCATCAAATCCTTAAAAATATCGTTATGTACTGAATTTGCACATGGATTATTGTTATTTATGTATTATATAATCATATTTTGTCATGTTGCTAAATTGGGCTAACAATCTCATTTCTTTATTTGGAAGGTCCTGCTTAAATCATCCAGACAAAAAAATTGTTGCCTACTCTTCAATGATTTTGTTTACATCTCTTAATCCTGAAAGAATTAAAGAACTGGAAGAAAACCTCAATATTGCAATTGATGTCATAGTTGCTCATCAAAAGCACCCCGAATCAGAATGGCCGTAAGTATCTTGTTAGAAATTTGATTGCTTAAGGACATCCTGGTAGATAATTTTCCTTGTAGAGGTTTTTTTTTTTTTTTTTGAGACAGAGACTCACTTTGTTGCCCAGGCTAGAGTGAGTGCCGTGGCGTCAGTCTAGCTCACAGCAACCTCCAACTCCTGGGCTCAAGCAATCCTCCTGCCTCAGCCTCCCGAGTAGCTGGGACTACAGGCATGCGCCACCATGTCCAGCTAATTTTTTCTATATATATTAGTTGGCTAATTAATTTCTTTCTATTTCTAGTAGAGATGGAGTCTCGCTCTTGCTCAGGCTGGTCTCGAACTCCTGACCTCGAGCAATCCGCCCGCCTCTGCCTCCCAGAGAGCTAGGATTACAGGCGTGAGCCACCGCGCCTGGCCTCCTTATAGAGGTTTTAAGTAAAAATTCAAATTATGATAATTAAACAATAAGTTAGAATTTAACATATGTAGATGAATTAGAAAAGGTTTTGAGCAGAACCTGGAGAACTTGTAAAAGAGGTGAGGTGGGGTTTGAGTTGGGCCTTTAAGGAGAAGGAGAATTTTTTAAAGTGTTGATGAGGGGCAAGGACGTTCTTGGTATGTGAGATACACAGCGTGAAATGCCCAGGACCTTTGCGGTGTGGATCGTACCGTTGGTGGCTGCGGTGGGTAGCTCGTGAGATCTGAGGTTGATGTGTGTTTTGTGGGCACCTGTTCGCTGTCATTCATATTGTTGCCCTTCTACATAATGCATCATTTATCTCTGGTTGCTTTTAAGGTTTTTCTTGTCTTTTCAGAAGTTAATTATGATATCTTGGCATAGATTTCTTTGGGTTTATCCCTTTTGGGTTTCCTTTAGCTTCTTTTTTTTTGAGACAGAGTCTCTCTTGCCTGGGCTAGAGTGCGGTGGCATCAGCCTAGCCCACAGCAACCTCAAACTCCTGGGCTGAAGCACTCCTCCTGTCTCAGCCTCTTGGGTAGCTGGGACAATAGGGCACCACCATGCCCAGCTAATTGTTTTAGTTGTTTGGCTAATTTCTTTCTATTTTTAGTAGACACGAGGTCTCGCTCTTGCTCAGGCTGGTCTCAGACTCTTAAGATAAAGCGATCCTCCTGGTTTGGCCTCCCAGAGTGCTAGGATTACAGGCGTGAACCACTGCGCCTGGCCCCTTCAGCTTCTTGAATCTGTATGTGTGTATCTTTTGCCAAACTGGGGAAGTCTTTAGCTGTTATTTGTTTGAATACTTTTTCAAGCCCATGTTCTTTCTCTGCTCCTTCTGGGATTCCGTGTCAGGTGCACACAGTGCAAAGCACAGTACAGCTGAAGCCTGACTGATGTGACCTGTAAAGATACAAGGTATAACGAGCAACTTTTAGGGTTAGACAGTTTGTTATTTAGGTGGATAGAGAAGAGAAGAAGCCAAAGGGCCCAGCTCCTTGTGACCCTTGGCCCACACACCACAAGGGCAGGATGACTGGAGTGTGAACCGTGGGGTACCCTGTTGCTGAGGAGCTACTTCTTGATTGCTTGGAGCACTTTTATATTCTGAGGAGGGTAGGGCAGAAAGCTCCATACCTTGTTAGGACAGTACTTCATCTGAACCAGTGTCAGGACAGCCTCCCTTAGGAGACAGAAGGACAAGAAGGAGACAGCCCTCCCATCCTCCTAGGTTCCAGGAACATCATAAGGTGTTTAGCTAAGACTCACATTCACTGCTGTTTAAGCTGCGGCCTGTGTGGATAGGTGCGGGATCACCAGGGCACGGTGGTAGAATAGTTCCCCTGTACTCAGAAGATCAGATATGAGTCTTTTGTTGTTGTTTCACAGGTTCCTGAGGCTCCATTCAGTTTTTTTCTTTTTTTCAGTCCACTTTCTATCTTACACCAATATTACACTGTCTTGAATATTGTAACTTTAAAGTGAGTTTTAAAATCAGGAAGTGTGAGTCTTCTAACTTTGCCCTTCTTTTTCAATATTTTTTTGTTTTTTCTAGGTCTCCTATTTTTCCATATTGATTTTTGGATCAACTTTTCAATTTGTTCAAAAAAATAGCTGGAGTTTTGATAAAGGTTGCATGAATCTGTAGCTCAATTCCAGGAATATTGCCATCGTAATTCCAGTCCATGAATAAAGGATATTTTTTCACTTACTTAGGTCTTTTAAAATTTCTTCAGTGTTTAATAGTTCTTAGTGTACAAGTTTTGCATGTCTTTAAATTTAGTCTAAGTATTTTATTCTTTTTGATGCTGTTGCAAATGGAATTATTTTCTTAAATTCTTTTTGGATTGTTATTACTAGTCTATAAAATTAGAATTGATTTTTTTATATTGATCTTATATCCCGCAATCTTTCTTGCTGAACTCATTTATAGTTTTACTAGATTGTTTTGTGATTCTCAAGGTTTTTCCTCTGTATAGGACCATGACATTTGCAAATAGATATAGTTTTACCTTTTCTTTCCAATTGGATTGCCTTTTATTTCTTTTCCTTACCTAATTGCCTTGACTAGAAATTCCAACAGAGTTTTGAGTAGACATCCCTGTTTTATTTGTTATCTTAGTGGAAAAGCTTTCAGTTTTTTGCCATTGATTATGATGTTATAGTAGCTGTGGGGGTTTCGTAGATATCTTTTCTTGGGATGAAGAACTTTCCTTTCTACTTAATCCTTTCTTTCTATTTCTGCTTATTTATTGCCTTCTACTTGTTGAATGTTTTTATTTATTTATTTTATTTCGGCATATTATGGGGGTACAGATTTTAAGGTTTCAATAAATGCCCATTTCCCCCCCTCCCCCCACAAGTCTGAGTCTCCAGCATGACCATCTCCCAGATGGTGCACATCTCACTCATTATATATGTTATTACGCCCCCCTCCCCTGCCCAATACCCTATTATTGCAGTACCTATGTGACCACTTAGGTGCTGTTCAGTTAATACCAATTTGCTGGTGAGTATATGGTGGTGCTTGTTTCCATTCTTGGGAAACTTCACTTAATAGTATGGGTTCAGCTCTAACCAGGAAAATATAAGATGTGCTATATCACCATTGTTTCTTAGAGCTGAATAGTACTCCATGGTATACATATACCACATTTTATTAATCCATTCTTGGATTGATGGGACTTGGCTGTTTCCACAGCCTTGCAATTATGAATTGTGCTGCTATAACATTTGAGTGCAGGTGTCTTTTTTGAGAGTGTCATTGGATCTTTTGGGTAGATGCTCAGCAATGGGATTGCTGGATCAATGGTAGATTCACTTGTATCGCTTTAAGTATCTCCATATTGCTTTCCACAGAGGTTGAACTAATTTGAAGTCCCACCAGCAGTGTAGGAGTATAGAATTTTTTTATTTCCATCTTGATTTCTTCATTTATGAAATAATCATTTAGTAGGAGGTTGTTTAATTTCCACGTTTTTGTGTAGAAATGTGAGTTTCTGTTAGGTTGATTTCTACTTTTATTCCACTGTGATCTGAGAAGGTACATGTGTGATTCTATTTTTTTAAATTTCTTGAGATTTACTTTGTGTCCTAGGATATGGTCAATCTTAGAGAATGTCCTGTGAGCTGATGAGAAGAACGTATTTTCAGTGGATTTTGGGTAGAATGTCCTGTAGATGTCAGTCAGACCCAGTTGTTCCAAGGTTTTGTTAAGTCATTATTTCTTTATTAATTTTCGTTTGGAGGATCTGTGTTGTGCCGTCAGTGGGGTGTTGAAATCTCCGGTGATTATGGAGTTGCTATTAATCCATTTGCTTAGATCCAGTAAGGTTTGCTTTATGAAACTGGGTGCACCTAAGTTGGGTGCATATATATTAAATTGTTATCTCTTCTTGTTGAAGTGTGCCCTTCACCATTATATAATGATCCGCTTTGTCTTTCACTACTTTTGTTGGTTTAAAAACTAAATCATCTGAAATTAGAATTGCCATGCCAGCCTTCTTTTGACTTCCACTTGCCTAGAATACTGATCTCTACCCTTTTACTTTTAGTCTATATGCATCCTTGCAGGTTAGATGTGTTTCCTGAAGACAGCATATACTTGGCCCGTATTTTCTTATCCATTCAGCCAGCCTATGTCTCTTGAGTGGAGACTTTAAGCCATTCACATTTATTGAGAACTGAAGGTAAGGTAGATTACTCTTCATTCTGTTGGGTTGGATTTGTTGCTTTGATTTCCTCTTGAGCCATTGTATTATCTGGCCTTAATCTTTGGTTTTGGTTGTTTTTATATTCGTGAGTTTTTATTATGGTGTTCTGTGTGTAACACTGTTTTGAGTACTTCTTGTAGGGCTGGTCTTGGGTGAATTCTCTGAGACTTGCTTGTCTGAGAGTGTCTTTATTTCTCCTTCATATATGAAGCTTAGTTTTGCAGGGAAAAGATTCTAGGGTGGGCATTGTTTTGTTTCAGAAGAGTGAGAATGGGGCCCCAGTCTCTCCTTGCTTGTAAAGTCTCATTAGAGAAGTCTGGTGTTATTCGAATTGGCTTTGCCTTGTATGTCACTTGCTTCTTTCGTCTTACAGCTCTTAGAAGGGCCCCTTTAGTTTATATTTTGGTCAGTCTGATGACTGCATGTTGTGACGTCTTCCTGTTTGCATTGAATCTCCCAGGGGTCCTCTGAGCTTCTTGAACTTGTATATGCAGATTTTGAGCAAGGCCTGGGAAATTTTCCTCTATTATATCTTCAAATAGCTTGTCCAACCCTTGGGTGTCATCCTCTTCCCCTTCTGGTAACCCTATGACCCTCACATTAGGTTTCTTCACATAATCCCACATCTCTTATAGGCTTTGCTCTTTTCTCTTGTTTCTCTACTCTATCTCTGTGATGGTTTTATTTAGTTGGAGGGTGTTATCTTTAATCTCTGAGATTCTTTCTTCTGTTTGATCTACCCTGTTCTTGAGACTTTCCACTGTATTTTGTAGTTCCCTGAAATGATAATTCATTTCCAGGAGTTCAGTTAAACTTTTCTTCATTGTGTCCATTTCTTTAGTGAACTT